AAAGAAAGAAAGAAAGAAAGAAAGAAAGAAAGAAAGAAAGAAAGAGAAAGAAAGAAAGAAAGAGAGAAAGAAAGAAAGGAAGAGAGGAAGGGAGGAAGGGAGGGAGGGAGGGAGGGAGGGAGGGAGGGAGGGAGGAAGGAAGGAAGGAAGGAAGGAGAATTTCTGCAAAGGTTGAATGAGCTGAAAACTGACACAAATGGCTCAACTGATTTTCTATGCCTTAAAACTTTCGGAAAATCAAAGTTGGACTTATACCTACAGTTTCACATGAATTACCAATATCAAAATTAGTAAATCTTCCTGTTATATTAAAGAACTATGAAATAAACAAACTCCAAAAATGCAGATTCAAGAAACCTACAATATTATAGCTTTGAATAACCACAAGATGGGATTTATATAAATTCATTAAAATGAAATTACTGTTCAGGAAATATTAGACTTTTAATACTATCTGATAGAATACTTAGTTATTCTACTATGAAAATATCTATATGGAGTATGAAGAAACCTGAGTCCTATTTTTTATATATTAAATGAATACCTGGAATTCAGTTCTTAGAAATAATTTTACAGATGAATGAACAGAAAGTAAGCAGATAGGAAGTTATCCCATTCAAATGGTAGTCAAAGAGAGAAAAAAATTAGATGACTGAGAAAGAAGTCTTAGAACATGGAAAGATGAATTAAAAGAGAAGATTCACAAGTATCCTGGTTTTTGGATCAGAAAGATAAAAGGAAAGCTTCTGGAAAATTATATACCAAAAATCTTCAGCATAACAGGAATGTAAGATGAAAAAGGTAACTATTGAGAGAATCTATTAATTCTCAATTTTTTTTTAAAGTAGGCTCCATGCCCAGTGTGGAGCCCAGTGCGGGGCTTGAATTCACGACCCAGAGATCAAGACCTGAGCTGAAATCAAGAGTTGGACACTCAACCAACTGAGCCACCCAGGTGCCCCTAATTCTGAATTTTTAAAACTGCATAAATCACAGATCAACAATAAGAATGAGCTGCCCAAGATACTTTAATGGAAATAGTACCTATTAAACAAGAATTAGTTTTTTTTAAAACATCCAAAAGTACTGGTCTTTTCTCCTATCATCTTCCTATCCAAAAACTAAAGCAAACTGAATTATATTTATTATTGAAGTAAAGCTATTTCTTTTCAAGTTTCCCTTGATCTTTTTTTATGCCAATCAAGTGTCACTTTATTTCAATAATTAGACATCACTTTTTAAAGTTACTATTTTATTTAATGCACATTGTAATCTACTAAATAATATAACTTAATCTTGATTACTTTCTGAAACTTACAAATAAGATACATAACTGAAGTCATTTTATACTGAGGCAAATTTGCATCTAATTATATTTTGATAGTAATTTTACTATTTTATGATGTTTCAGTGCCTAAGAGAAAATCAGCAACATAATGACATGGTATGCCATTTTAACACAAATTTTTATTAGAAAAGAGCTTACTAAATTCATTTCTATTCCTTGTAGCACAGTATTCTTATACCATAAAAGGATAAAACATGTAAAATCAGTTGTGAAGAAAGGTTTGCTGAGTTCCTCCTACAGATCAGGCATTCTGCTAGATGCCAAAGATAAAACAGTAGATAGGACAAAACAGGTCTTGACTTCACCTAGATTAAATACACCAACAGTTCCCATTTTAGAGCTACATATACAGTAGACCCCCCACCCCCCAAGCCTCATCCTCAGTTTCACTTTCTGTGCTTCCAGTGACCCGTGATCCACTGGGAAGCAGAGGATCCTCCTGCCACATCCTCAGAAGATCAATAGTAGTGTAACACTATGTCACAGGACCTAACTCATCCCCCTCACTTTATCTCATCATGTAAGCACTCAATCATCTCACATCATCACAAGAAGAGTGAATATTATACAAGATATCTTGAGAGAGAGAATCCACCTTTACATAACTTTTATTAGAGCATATTATAATCGTTCTATTTTATTATTAGTTATTGTTGTTTATCTCTTACTGTACCTAATGTATAAATTAAACTTTATCATAGTTATGTATGTATAGGAAAAAAAAACAGTAAATATGGCGATTATGTGCCGGCTGCTGTTTCAGGCATCCAGTGGGGGTCTTGAAACATACATGCAGATGGGGGTGAAGGGGACTACTCTAAACTATTAGAAGTAGTATACCACAACATAATTTTAGGTTGGTTGAAACTAAAACACTGACAAAATTTTAAAATAAAATGCATACAAGGTAATACAAAATGAATGAGCAGATTACCCTCAGCCATAACAAGATGTTTATCCTCTAGTTTGCAATAAAGGCAAAAAAAAAAAGTTTCTCTGAATATTCCAACTTAGGGCTCCCATAGTAGTCATTCTCATCCTCTCCTAGAGTTCATGTCACTTCTCAATCTGAGCATCCCTACAACCAAACCATCTTTTCCAAAGCCAGAGCTCCCACTTTAAAAAAGCATAGAGGCTGAGTGGTAAGAGTGCGTTGGAGTAAGACGACAGTTATCATGGAGAGATTAGAATTTAAATATATACAATCTTTCTCACATTCTCAAAGCTACTTCCACTTCAAAATATAAATAATATTTCTTGCACAGAGTTAAAAAGAGATGTGTGAACAATTTTTTAAAGAATGTTTTCTATTCTACGAACAACTAAAATAAATGGAATTGACTTTTTTTAATGTTTCAAGTCAATGTGCGAATAAATTGCTGCATTTCCCAAATTAGGCTGATAACTTAATGAAATGTTCAGTGAAAACAGGACTCAGTGGTCAAATATGTTTAGTAAACACTCAATGTTCTAACCCCTTTGGAGCATGTTTAGACACTCAGAAGTATTACAATAAAGAAAATTTCTTGACCTTTTTTTAAAAGAACCTTTCCAAAACTATTTGACCAAAGATTGAATTGGGGGGTTAATATTTCTTAATGTCCTCTGAATTATTTTTGAAAGAAACACACTTTAGAATATATTGCATAACTGGAGAAAGGGGAGAATTACCTCTCTTCGTTTTTACTACCTTATAAATTATCCTGTCTTCTTTTTAGATTTCCATGATAATTAAAGATGAAAGTATCAAACTCATAACCTAACAATTTTTGTTTCTGAGGAATAATATTCCAAGGGCAGCATTTTAATACATACTCTTCAGTATGTTATGCTATCAGAGATAATATTTAGTCTGTACAGATCAGCTTACTTACGTCTGGGGCTCCTTTTCATTTTGTTGTTTTTGCTGGGGCTGAAGAACGTTATTTACCAGTTCAGTGATCCCACTAAAGGGAAACCACCTGTTTAAATAAGCAAATAATGTGACTGAATAACCAAATGAATAACAATGTAGGTCAAATGTTTTCTTATCCATAATAATAAAAATACACAGGCACAAAAGCTACAGCCAATGGAAATGTGAGCTCCAATTATCATCAGGCAGTCAGAATGTATGGAAATTAATTAAGTTTGAACACTTAACCAGTCCACAAGCAGGCAGCAAAAAACTACATCCAGTCAATGTGTGGATGAAGTAAGAAGCTGCAGGCAGCTCTCTTACAAGCCAGAGAGTCAGAAAGCAGAAGACACACTAGCTGCAGCCTATCCAGTATTAGTGTAAGCTAATACCATCCAAGGTGCAGAAAGCAGAATATGGCAAAGGTACAGAAATCAAGCCTACTGCACTCTTAATACATTTACTTACTGTGTCGGTTGTGGTTTGTGTTCTTCTTTGACCCTAAAAAGATAAGTTTGCACAACTGAGTGCACTGTACTGAGAAAAAAATGTCTATCTACAATTTGTGGTCATATAAATATAAAAAATGAGGTTTGTTACATAGAAAAGGTTGGTGCTTTGCTACTTGGAATTATACATTTAAATTAAGCTGACACAATAAAAGAGAAGTAGAATCACTTGTTCTGAATAAAGGACTGATATTAAAACTCTACTACTGTTTTAATGATTCCATGATTTAGTCTTCAAGTTCTCTGCATATTTTTATTAATACTGATATTGAAGCTTTTAAAATACTTATTTTAAAGTACCATATTAAACACAGCTACATTTGTTTTACTGAAGATAAATCGATTTCCTCTTGATTTTTTAAAATTCTTCCTTAATATAATAAATTGAAGGCCTGAATATTTTAAATAAAATGTATAGTCTTATAAATGTATTTTAAAAGCCTTACAAATGAGTTCATTTATTGCTTAAAAGAGCAGATAAAAGAATTGGGGGTTATGTATTCAATCTACCTAAAAATAACTACTAAAATAACTATGTATATTAAATTTTAAATATTTATAAGCTAAAGTAAATTATTCATATAAGATAACAGACTAAAAATGCATTTAAACTATAATCAACTCAGTGCTTCACTGAAATAGCACTGGATATTTACAAGGCAGAGAAAGACCATACCCAAGGGTACCGGATTCCTCTGAAATTTGGCTTCCCACACTCTACTTAGGACCGGGCCTGAGAGGTAAACTTATGATTCAATGATCAGTTCATTAGCTTTTACTTTCCCAAAGAAAGGCTAAGAATTGGTAACTAAAAATCATCACCAAAATCTAGGACTTCCATAAGGAAATTATATTAACACTGTGCATTAAATTCTTTTTAGATCAAATTGATTTTCTTTTCCAGTGTGTTCCTATTTATAATGATAAAAGCAATAAATAAAGGTATTCCCTTATACATGTTTGTGTCCCGATAGATAAATATAATTGGTAATTATGTATCTCTGTATTAAACCAAAAAGGAATATCTTGTGTTCTCTGCATAAACTTCAAAAAAGTGGAACAGTTTTATCCTAGAGCTAAAGCCACATCATTTAATATTTAAATATAGTCATATAATGGATTAATAAAGATTGTATTTAGCACCAAGTATCCTATCACCAAACAAACACAAAAAACTTAGAGTGACACTGGAGTCTATCCTGAAAACATATTGTATTTCCCACAGAATAAGGTAAAAATCTCTTAACATTTCAAAACAAAATAGGTCCCAAACAGATAATGACAAAGAAAGATTACCGTATCAGCTCATCAAAATGGAGAACAGTGCAAGATTACCCTTCACCAAATATGTATGTTAAAACAATAAATATTTAAATAAATAAATAAATATTGAAATAAATATGTAAATGAGGAAACCATATTGTTAAAGAATTCTTGGGTGATCTCTGCAAGGAATCATGTTGCTATTTTAATTAGTGACAAAAGTTTTCATCATAAACAAATTGATATTAATCTACCAATCAGTTCCTAATTTCAAAATCTTGACTTGAAAAATTAACAGACATAAAAATGTTAATTACCAATTCAGGAAGTATTTCTGGGCATTGTAAAATATCTATATGTGAAATATACAAACATTTGCATCAGCTTCCCAAATAAAATATGTATCATAATAAGGCAGTTAAAATATTTATCCTGTCAGGTGGCCAACAGACACATGAAAAGATGTTCATCATCACTTACTCTCAGGATAATGCAAATCAAACTACAATGAGTTATCACCTCACACCTGTCAGAATGGCTATAATCAACAACACAAGAAACAACGGGTGCTGGTGAGGATGTGGAGAAAAAGGAACACTTGTGCACTGTTGGGAATATAAACTGGTGCAGCCACTCTGGAAAACAGTATGGAAGTTCCTCAAAAAATTAAAAAAGAGAACTACCCTATGATCCAGCAGTCACACTACTGGGTATTTACCCAAGGAATATAAAAAACACTAAATTCAAAAGGACACATGCACCCTGATGTTTATAGCAACATTGTCTACAACAGCCAATTTATGGAAGCAGCCCAAGTGTCCATCAATAGATGAATGGATAAAGAATATGTGGTATATATACAATGGAATATTATTCAGCCATGAAAAAGAATGAAATCTTGCCATTTGCAATGACATGAATGGAGCGAGAGAGTATAATGCTAAACAAAATAAATCAATCAGAAAAAGACAAAAATCATATGATTTCACTCATATGTGGAATTCAAGAAACAAAACAAATGAGCAAAAGAGAAAAAGATAGACAGAAACCAAGAAACAAGCTCTTAACTATAGACAACAAACTGATGGTTACCAGAGGGGAGGTTGATGGAGGAATAGGTTAAATGGGTGGTGGGGATTAAGGAGTACACTTGTTGTGATGAGCACCGGGTGATGTATGGAATTGTTGAATCACTGTATTTTACATCTGAAACTAACAAAACATTATGTTAAAAAAATTTACCGTCTTTAAATACAATCAAGGGTATAAAATTATTTTCCTTTTTTCCTAATATTTTAAATAAAATCAAACCTCAAAATGTCTGGACATAATTAAAATTCATGATGAGATAATTTAAGAACTGGTAATATGAAAAAGTAATCATATCATATCTTTTACAATACACTAACATTATTAACAATGAACATCTACATTTTGCATTCTAAAAAGTATATGAGGGGCTTCGAGTTTTCAGTCTGATACATAAAAAAACTTAGAAATCATCACTTCCATCCTTATAACAAGCAGAAATGTGAACAAACTGAAAATCAACAACTCTTCTTAGAGCCATCAAAGAATTTAGGTTACCAGATAAACTGTTGCCCTGAAAATCAAAGAAACAGACAAATAGATAGAGACTATCACATTTTACCAAAAGTACAAGCCAAGGGGCAGAAGCCCACATCTGAAGCTACTATCTGTAGAAATACTTTTAACTATAACTGACCAATAACTAGAGACTCAGTGTGGACTGGGTTGAGAGTTTAAAATTCCAAGGGGTCCCAGTCTTAGTTTTGCCACCACATTTCCATAACTTTTATTTCCAGGAGCCCTACCAGTTGCTCACTGTGAAAATCAAAGAAAAATCTCCTCCTACATCCAGCAGGAGAAGGGGAAAGTAACCATTATGAAATATTCCCAGAGCTCGCTACTCTCCTCAACAATCCTAAACTCAAGGGAAAATATTTTACCAAAGCCTAAATAATTGGGGTTCTACCAAAACCAAACAAGCCTGAAGAAGTTAATTACCTCTTCTAGCCTTTGATGTGGGAGAAAACACACACACACACAAACACACACACACACACACACACACACACACACAGAACTATACCCCGTCTAGCCTTCAACATGGGGAAAAAGAAATACCCAACTCAGTCTCACCAAAAGACAGACTACAGAATGCTTCTCATATATCAACACCTTACCGCCAAATCAATAGAGTTCCTGAAAAAAGACAAGATTAAACTAAAAGAACTACAAGCTTTAGACACTATTTAGCTATTTAGTTGAAAGTCTCTAGGGAAACACAAGGGAAAGGAAGGAAGGAAAAGAAAGGAAAATACAAATAAAGACAATAGAGAAGATTCTGGGAGGATGATGGAGTAGAAAGCAATAGAAATCTGTCTCCCTACCTAGACAACAGTGGCAAAATCTGTCCAGAAATTTGGAGTGTAATGAAGGCTTTCAACTTCGGGAGAAGACTTAAACAATACACTGCAGTTAATTTTGGTCAACTTGGGCTCTTAGCATAATATCAGCTACCCATTCCCCACATGCCAGACCCATAGCACACTGCTGTGCACCTGCTCCTGGAGCAACCTGCACACAGTTTGCAGGAGTCTGGATAGGTAAAAAGGACTCTGTCCTCCAAATATCAGTGATTTGTGCTTCAGATCATGGGCTATTGCTTCTCATCTCAGAGGTGCAGACAAAAAACTGGGTGGCTATTGTTGTTGCAACTCCTCACACTGTTGAAGCCCCTTCCCCTCTGGCTAAGGTGATTTCCAGGATATTTAAATGGCCAGCACATCCCACCCCCCCACCCTGCTCTGTTTTTCAATTTTTCTCCCTTTGGGAGCCAGACATTAAAGACTGAAACATTCAAAAGCAACTGCATGTATGAGAGAAAGTCAAGTCACTATACATGCCCAGAGAAAGACCCAGGCATAGCAAAGACCTGAAAAGACCTTAAATTTATACCACAGGATAATCCTCAGCACAGAGACAGCCTACAATTAAATACACACACACACACACACGCACACACACAATAAACAAAAATAACAGAAAACTAGAAAACCCAGTGAAGGGAAAAAACCTGATTTCCAGAGTTACCACATTAGATTCAAATGTCCAATTATCAATTAAAAAAAATCCTAATGCATACAAATAAGAAAGTATTACCCATTCAAAGGAAAAAAAGGATGAATAGAAACTGTCCTTGAAAAAGACCTGACAGCAGATCAAAAAAACAAAGACTTTAAAACAACCATCTTAAAGAAGCTCAAAGAATTGAAGATGTGGGAAAAGTCAAGAAAATGTGTGAACAAAGTGGGAATATCAATAAAGAGACAGAAAACCTAAAAAAAATGAAGAAGGATTTCTGGAGATGAAAGTACAATAACATAAAAAATTCACTATAAGGATTCAAACTATAGACAAATACCCAAATACTACCCAAAGCAATGTACAGACTCAATGTAATCCCTATCAAAATCCCAGTGTTTTTGGCAGAAATACAAAAAACCATCCTAAATTCATATGGAATCAGAAGGCACCCTAAATAGCCAAAATAATCTTGAAAAAAAAAAAAACAAATCTGGATGACTCACATATACTGATTTCAAAACTTACTACACAGCTATAGATAATTTGTGGTACTGGCATAAAGGCAGACATAGACCAGTGAAATAGTATAGAGAGCCCAGAAATATACCCTCATATATA